TCTCTCTCTCTCTCTCTCTCTCTCTCTCACACACACACACACACACTTCAAGATCTATCATGAAGTTCTGGATAAAACACAGGCCCTACCTTCAAAGGCCCTGCTCAGATTCAGGTTCCCCTCCATCTTCCATTCCCTCCATCAGCCATCCCCTCCAACATCTTCCATCTCCATCATCTTCCATCCCCTCCATCATCTTCCATCTCCATCAATCATCTTCCATCTCCATCATCTTCCATCCCCTCCATCATCTTCCATCCCCTCCATCTTATTCCATCCCCTCCATCATCTTCCATCTCCATCATCTTCCATCCCCTCCATAATCTTCCATCTCCATCATCTTCCATCTCCATCATCTTCCATTTCCTCCATCTTCCATCCCCTCCATCTTCTTCCATCCCCTCCATCATCTCCCATCCCCTCCATCTTCCATCCCCTCCATCTTCTTCCATCCCCTCCAACATCTTCCATCTCCATCATCTTCCATCCCCTCCATCATCTTCCATCCCCTCCATCTCCCATCCCCTCCATCATCTTCCATCCCCTCCAACTCCCGTAAAAGCCCCCAAGACATTGAGAAGCTGGTCCTACTAATTTCTTCATGGCTGGCTTTGAATAAACTTGATTACTTCCAACCAACACTTGTGTCTAAATTTTGCTCATACCAAGCAGGCAACTGGGATATATAGTTCTAATATCCACTCCATCCACTATATTTACTGGCCAAAATAAAAGTCCCACTTCCGTCTGCTGTGCCAATCTAGAACTCAAGGACAATGATCATTCAAGATAAACTCTTTTCTTTTATTTTGATGTGTGTATATGGGTGTATGTGGCTATATGTGTGACTACATGTGCACATGTCCATGTGCAAGTGGATGTTAGAGGTCAATGTTGAGTGTCTTCTTCAGCCAAGTCTCTTTATCTGTTTGTTTGTTTGTTTGTTTGAGACAGGGTCTCTCACTGAATCTAGAACTCACCGATTGGCCAGTCTTGTTGACCAGAAGTCCCAGAGACCCTCTGTCTCTCTGCCTCCAGATTGCTGGGGTTACAGGTACATGCCACCCCACCCTGCCTTTCATGTGGGGTTAGGGGATCTAAATTCAGGTCCCTGTGCTTATCTGGCAAGCACTTTATTTTACGAAATCATCTCTACATCTTTGAGATCAATTTGTGTAACAATTATCTCACTAAACTTCCCACAATTGGCTAAACGGGTGCATTTGAATTTCGACCTTTGCCCCATTCCTGTTTTTCATATTATACAAGTAGGGGAATGGACAATCTTCCAAGGAAAATAGTAAGAATTGGCGGTATCCGAGTGACTACATTAAAGTCAACTTACAAATGAACCATCCCATAGAAATACTATTGGAAGCAATGATGGCTGCCACATATTGATCACCTAGTCCTTATGTGATATTCAAGTGCTCTATGCTTAGCCTACAGGGTCGGGTTTTATGGGCCCTGAAGCTTCTGCAATTCAAAGGGCCCTTCCTAAGAAGGAAAAAAATTGGACACAAAATTAAACACAGGGCTTTGGAAGGACCTGTGCAAGCAAAGGACCCAAAGCTTATACTTCACGAGCTTCATGAAAATACAACTAGGTGCCCAAGATGGCTCACGTTTCCCATCTCCACTTTCATAAGAAATGAAAATGAGGCTTAGAGAAGTTAAGTGACTTGCCCAAGGTTAAAATCTTGAGAGTGTCACATTTCAGATCTGAACATAAGGTGTCTAATTCCTAATCTCATGAAGTTTCACTGTGTGGCTTCTAATAAAAACAAAATTGTTATCATGTCATTAAACACTGACTACATGGTGTGGAATATTCCTTTACACTGTATGAATACATGTCACTGATTGGCTTAATAAAGAAGCTGACTGGCCAATAGCTGAACAGGATAAGGTTAGGCAGGAGAGCCAAACTGAGAATGCTGGGAGGAAGAAAGGTGGAGTCTGGAGTTGCCAGCAGATGCAGGAGAAGCAAAATGGGCATGCTGTACTGAGAAAAGGTACCAAGCCGTTCGGCAAAACATAGATAAGAAATATGGGTTAATGTAAATGCAAGAGTTCTCTAGTAACAGGCCTGAGCTATTGGTGGAGCATTTATAATTAATTAAGTTTCTATGTGGTTACTTGGGAGTGGCTTGTGAGACAGAAACTTCTGCCTACAATATGAACATGAGGACTTTTTTCTTGGAATTTTTTTTTTTTTTTTTTGGTTTTTCGAGACAAGGTTTTTCTGTGTAGCTTTGTGCCTTTCCTGGGACTCACTTGGTAGCCCAGGCTGGCCTCGAACTCACAGAGATCCGCCTGCCTCTGCCTCCTGAGTGCTGGGATTAAAGGCATGGGCCACCACCACCCGACCTTTTCTTGGAAAATTTTATAGTCTTTCTAAATACCTTGGTCATTATTATCAGTGCCCAAAGACAAGGAAACATGAATAAATAAATAAATATTATAGGCTGGAGGTAAAGCTAGTTGGAAGAGCGTCTGTCTAACATGCAAGAAGCCCTGTTTTGATTATAGCACTGCATAAACCAGGCGTGACCCCAGCACTCAGGACACGAAGGCAGGAGGATCAGGAGTTCAAGGTCATTCTCAGCTTGACAGTGAGTTTGAGGCCAGCCTGGGCTACAAGAGAAACCCCTCCCCTCAAAAGAAAAAAAAAATTAACAGAGCCAGGTGTAGCGATGCATTCTTATGATGCCAGCAAATGGGAGTCTGAAACAAGGGCTGTGCGTTCAAGGACCAGCCTGGGCTACATAGTGAGACTTTGTCTCGAAAGGAAAAACTAAAAGGAAGATTCAGTAAGTAGTCCCTGGTTACTCAACTGGCCCACGTGGAGCCAACATCCGTTCCCTGCACGTCCCATCTGCGGAGTCCTTCTCGGTCTTCCCCTCCGTTTGGTGTGACCACAGGTTACCCAGGCAAGTGCACACTGGTAACCTCCAGTTGACTTAAGCCACCCCCAATCCAGCTGCCGAAACTAACACATTTCCTTTCTGTCAGGCAGCACCACGTGGTGCCCCGCTCTGCAGCTGGGTTTGTGCCTCTTTCTAAGTCTCCTGTGTTGTAGCATATCAGCCAGGTCCTTCCCAGCAAGAAAACCACTTGTGGCCCACAGAAACTCCGGTCCCACGATGCTGCCTCCCACATCTCCCTCTGTGGATGAAACTGAATTCAGAAGAATCAGAGTGGTTACAGATGAGGTGCTGGGAGAACTACCAGACCCCGCCCCCCCCAAAAAAAATTTTTTTAAATAACCTGACTGTTGTATCCCTTAGCTCAAGCCACCAAAGCAAGAGTCTAAGACGAGCCAGGAATTTAGATGGGGGGGGGGGTAGAGAAAGGTTTGTTTTTGCCCTTGAACACACAGGCTCAGGGAAACAACAGTCTCTGAGAGGCTGAGACAGTAGACCTGGTCTTCTCTTGGCAATGCCATCTCGTTAAGACTCGAATGGAGCTTTGCCTTGACACTTAAAAAAGTCTTGCTGGGTGGTGGTGGCGCACACCTGTAATCCCAGCACTCGAGAGGCAGAGGCAGGAGGATCTCTGTGAGTTCGAAGACAGCCTGGTCTCCAAAGCGAGTTCCAGGAAAGGCACAAAGCTACACAGAGAAACCCTGTCTGGAAAAACCAAAAGTCTTTAATTGCAGGATTCCAAGTCAGTGGTTATTGCGGGAAGTCTCTGTTTAGGGACCTCATCGACTGCCATTTGGAATAACTGATTCCCAGCACACCAAGCCTAAGCCTTCGGACCTAGGTGGCGGCAGCGGAACATTGTGCCTAAGCATGAGGCTAATGAGAAAGGGCCACTCCAGTGACATGTTTATGCATCCCTTTACTTTTAAAGGAGAGTGATCCTAGTAACTCTCTCCTGTTCCTCTTTCCACTGTGCTTGGTGGATGGGGGTGGATGGATAAGGAAGAAACGGCGTGGGCAGTCGCAGGATGGAGACGTCTTTCACACGACCAGCTTTGCAGCCCGCAATCATCCACTCTGAGAGACAGGCCCGGATCCTTAGAGGGGCCTAAAGGCACCCCCAAGTAATGACAAGGATGAACAGAAGACAAGGCGACAAGGCTGTCTGAGAGACACAAAGCCGCTAAGCACTGACTGCGATGGATAAAATGTCACCCACTCCAAAAGCCTGGCCTGTTGGCCAACCGCCTTGCCCTACCCTGCCCAGGAAGTCAAGAACACAATAGACCTCTCACCCATTTCTCATCCTCAGCCCCACTCCGCTTCAAAGGCCGGGCTGGCAGCCAACAAAACCTGCCTCTTCTGCGGCGCTTTTATGCATTTCTGTTTCTTAGTGAAGTGGGAGGAAAACAGGGCTCAGCACAGACTGGGTGCGCAGAGGGGTGGGGAGAAATGCAAACAGTAGAACGTAAACACAAGGCTTTCTTAAAAGTCAAGACCTGTAGACTTATAGGTTATTTAAAGGGAACAGTCACCTCAAGCCTCCCTATGCTGCCAAGCCCGGGACACAGGGGCAAAACAAGGGCTGTGTTCTGCAGGGTCGGCGCCAGCGCGACTCGCCCCACACAGAGTCCGCAGTGGGAGGATGGCTTGGAAAGGCATGCGTGCGCGAACACACAAGCACGCACACACACACACACACACACACACACACACACACACACACACGCACACGCCTAGCCCGCCTCACCTTCTCGATCGTCTGGTCCACCGCCTTCTGGAAGACTCGAGCCACCAGCAACGTGACACTGGTCACCAGCAGCAGCAGGGACAGGGTCCCCGCCGTGTAGAAGCAGCATCTGCCCATAGTGCGCGCGGCTCACGGGCCGGGCCCGCCACCCAACTGCGAGCGGAAAAGGGCCGAGGCCGCAGCAGCCGCCCGAAACCCCGGGGCCTTAGGGCTCCCGCGCCCTCCCGGTGCCGGTTCAAGCCGCCGCCCGCGGGGTGCGCACAGCTCTGGAGTCCGCGCAGGGCGAGCGCGGGGCGAGCACGGCCCTCGCAGCACCAAGTCTGCGCGATCGCGGGCGCCAGGGCCGCCTGGGTTTCGTTTTCTTGGGCTGAAGCAGCCGGGGAGGTGCAGGGAGCGCGCAAAGCGGTGACGCGGGCCGGTGTGGCTCG